TTTAGTCTCTTTCATACTGCTTCTGTTATTTTTGCTCGATTGTATGAGTATGTATATTTGTGAGTGTTAGCGTCTATATGCAATACGGTTCCTAAATCAAAATTATCAAAGATTAAATCTCCTTTTCTGATCCTTAAGACCTAATGATTCAAGAGAAAATCTTTGCCTGAGACTGTTTAAGTCCGTAGATAAGTATTGTTGGGATAATGAAATATAAGTTTTTTTAAGCATCATAATCAAGTTACGAAACCATTAGTCCTACCCTTTCGATCAAGGGTCATTAATGTTGTTTTTTTTAAGCATGATAATTAAGTTACGAAACCATTAGTCCTAACCTTTCGATCAAGGGTCATTAACGTTGTTTTTTTAAGCATGATAATCAAATTACGAAACCATTAGTCCTAACCTTTCGGTCAAGGGTCATTAACGTTTAACCCTAAGCATGATAATCAAGTTACGAAACAATTCGTCCTAACCTTACGGTCAAGGGTCATTAACGTTTAACTTTTCAAGGAAAAGCAAGACTGGGGTTGAGTGATATGGCAATAATCCATCAGAACATTTGTTTACATTGTCTGACTTGAACTTTGATACTAGATTTACTTACTTCCCTACTTTCAATTAAAACATCAATGAATTTAAGTAAAATGGACACTGTAAATCGTCGCATTTAGTGACCAGGTAAGACTCGAGCTTGCATCTAAGATTTACCGATAGCTTCGAAACCTACTCTCAATAAATATAAGTAAAAATGGCAATAGTCAATTAACACATTTTGTGATCAGATCTGGCTCGAGCTTCTATGCAAGATTTACTGATAGTGACGTGACCTACTTGCAACGAATAAAGTAGCATAGTCATTGTACATCGGTGAATTCAGTGACCAAGCTGTACTCTTATTCTTGATACAATTTTCAATAAATGAAAATTAGCATGCCAATATTCCATCTACACATTTTGTGACATGGACTGACTCAAGCTTAAATCCAAGATTTATTAATATTCTCGAGCCCTTTTTTCACTGATAATAAGTAAAATGGTCCTAGTCCATCAGCACATTTAGTGACCTAGTCTTACTCGAACTTTTGTCCAAGTTTCAGTGAATAAAGTATCACTATCATATTTTGTCACCTTGTCCGACCCGATCTCATATTCATTTTTTACTCATATTCTCGAAATCGACTTTCAATGAATATACTCAACATGGTCATAGTCCATTGCGTAAAAATCCCTGTCTGTGACTGCCAGCACACCTTGTCCCACAGAGGGGTACAGTAGAGGGGTGTGTTTCGCGATGGAGACTGTGTCCCCCACGAATACCACATCTACCTGCTGCGAGCTAACCTTTGAATGCCAGCGATTTCGTCCGCCTCCATTTGGCGCCTTTGCCGCCGATCTGCTCGACACGGGCCTGGTCCGGCCTCGGTCTTCGCACGGCCCAACGTCGAGTGGGCCTCAACACCGCCGGCCGGCACATGCGACGACCATCGCCGGAAGACGTCGCATAGATCCAAGAGGAGGATTGCCAAAGCTGTCTCTACGTCAATACCACAATATGGGCGGATTTCGCCTCTTCGACCCTTTCGTGGGAGTAGCCCGCGCCAATTCCTGGCAGCCGACGGAGCAGAAGTAGACGCAGCAGCCTAAAGTGTGGTTACGGAGGTCATGCCAACAGCCAGCACTGATAGGCTGACTGCACCGGACAGGCAGGGAAGATGAATGAGGGGGCGAAAGATACCAGGACACGACGACAGGTTGCTAGCCGAAATACAGCATAATCAATGAGACCGGCCTCCAGACCGAGCAAAGGCAGGGACAAAGAGCTTCGACTCGAGAGAGCAGGACAGCAAGTTGGTTGTGTGGCCGAGATGAAAGCTGAGTGTATGTGTGTGTGTGTGTGTGTGTGTGTGTGTGTGTGTG